TACCTAGATTATTTGAGCCGGAGTAGTTACCGTGATGGTAAATACGCATGATAATTTGAGGAATAATTTAAAACCAATTTAAACTTTAATATAAAATATAAATGATGATTTCAAATATAAAATTCAGAGTAAAGTTGTAACAGTGCGGAAGCTTAAATATAAAACATAATCAAATTGTTTGCATTTTCTGGGAACTCGCCCGAAAAGGTATTTATTTAATTAAAACATCATAAATGTGGTCCACCAGTCCGTACATCTCATCACTCTCATTGACCTCCGGGATGGGCTCCATGATTAGTATTGTTACCTGCGTGTAGCAAGTAAAACAAACTACACGCTCAGCGTCAGCTGAGGAATACGCTAATACAACAATTCCAAATTGAATAGCAAGTAGACATATAATTATCATGATATGACATAATATAGCATGTATGTTCAAGATGATGATGGTGATACGTATTTGATGTCATACATAGTCAATATATTGTACTTGATGATGAATTCATGCTGTATGATTCTAAGTCCAAGGATGACCCTTGAGCTATGATATTCGCCCATTTGGTACGACGAACTCACGCAGCCTTAGTCTCACAAGGGAGACTGGAAAAATAGGGGTGGTACTCGAAAGCCTAAGTACCATGTACGTACACTAAGACCGGTCGGTGATGTCGGACTGCTAACTCCCGCACAATCACGCTATAAGAGACGCAATTACGCATGATCTCTTACGCATGCACATGATGTGATATGCTTCAATATGGATGATGAAATGAATCATATGATATGAAAAATTTGTAAACAATATGAATGGATAAATATACTTTATTTTATTTGGGTGAAATCTGATAAAAATATCATTTAATTAAGCTACGGGGCTCGGAACGGTCGACCGTTTGGCGCGACGGTCGACCTCGACCTTCATTACGTCGGGCTGGCGGAACACCGTGACGGTCGACCGCGGTTGACCGGCGGTCGACCGTTGTTGACTAGAGGTGGACGGCGGTCCTTGGCTGAGCAGGCGGCGGTCGACCGTTGGCCACCGGCGGTCGACCGTTTGTCTGACAGTCTTGCTCCGTTTCGATTTTTAACGCGACGGTTGACCGTTTACGTCGACCGTTCGGGTGTGCGAATCCTATTTTTGATATTTTTGGATATCTAAAATACTTTTTTGAGTTATTTTAACACTTATGATTAACATATCTATGTATTTGAAGTATTCTTAACACTTATATTTTCATTTAAAGTAAAGTATCAAGAAAAACATATTTTTACTTTATGAGTTCAATGAGTTTGATCTTAAAGCATAAATGACTTATAATATGGCAATCAATCCTAACGATATATCTAGATTGATATTCAACCAAGGATTGTGTTACTAGGGTGCAATGTACTCGCCTTGATATCGTAGATGATGGAAGTGATAGAAAGATAATAATATACACCTCAATGAACGTTCAATGTACGGTCACCCCTATCAACTTCGAGCTTCCGACGTTCAATCTTCTTGGGAATAACCTCTGGAAGTTCCTAATAGCCACGAGAGAGTTGACGGTAAGTATTTGGAAAGAAACGATGTGAAAGTGATGAAGAAACATGGCCAACCCGAGGAGCTCGCCGCCACTGGAGCTGTCCCGGTATTTTGGCTATATCTCCTTCGTTACTTAATGAAATCACGAACCGTTTATTGGGTTGGATTCGTAACATTCGGGGCTACGATTTTGGTATAATAAACATTTTGAGAAAATGAACGGAAAAATTCAGAATTGACTCACAAGTGGACTGATTGTTTTATGCTCAGAATTTTGGAAAGCCTTGGTACTTCTTCTTGATCCTTCCTCTTCCTTTGGCACAAGAATGGAGTTTGAGTCTCCCTATTCTTTCCTTGCAGAGACAGCCGACAGAGAGAGAGAGAGAGTGAAGAGAGATTGATTGTGTTGTGAAGGCAAACTTTGACAAAATGGAGAAGTATTTGGAGTATTATATTGAGAAGTTTTGGAATTATAGTGTAGTGGAGGTGTGAGTGGATTTGGTGGCTTGATTGAGGATTTGAGGGATTGGGCTGCATGATTGGAGACTTTTGGGGAATTAAAATTATTCTCCTACTCCGTAATTGATAAACTGACTAGAACGGTACGCGCTTTTTTCGCCCAAAATGTTCCGATTGGAAAACGGATCACATATTTGGAATCAGACTGTCAAAACTAAAATTTTGATATAATTAAAATATTTTTCTAAAAACTTTTATTTTTCAGTGTTCGGGTCTATCTCAGTCATTAATTAATATTTAATTTAATTAATTCTTTTAGGCCAAATTTCGGGGCGTTACAATTCTCTCCCCCTTAAAATAATTTCGTCCTCGAAATTACTTGATTACTGGTTGCTGAAAAGTTGTGGATATTGAGATCGCATAGACTCCTCAGTTTCCCAGGTTGCTTCTTCGACATAGTGACTCCTCCAAAGCACCTTAACTAAGGGTACAGTCTTGTTCCTCAATTCTCGAACTTCTCGTGCAAGAATCTCTACAGGTTCCTCTTCATAAGACAGATTCTCGTCCAGAGTGACAGTCTCGGTTGGAATAACGTGAGATGGATCTGATCTGTATCTCCTCAACATCGATACATGGAAAAGATCGTAAATCTTGTTTAGTTCTGGAGGTAATTCCAACCTGTAGGCTACAGGTCCCACACGTTCTGTAACTTTGTATGGACCTATAAACCTCGGACTGAGTTTCCCCTTTTTGCCAAAACGTAAAACCTTCTTCCAAGGAGAAACTTTCAAGAATACTCTGTCACCAACAGCATATTCGATATCGCATCGCTTGAGGTCTGCATAAGATTTCTGTCTGTCTGCTGCTATCTGAAGTCGTCCTCTGATCAACTGAACTTTCTCCTCCGTTTCGCGCACGAGTTCTGGACCCTCGAGTTTTCTCTCACTCAGCTCAGTCCAACAAACTGGTGTTCGACACTTTCTTCCGTATAGTGATTCATACGGAGCCATTTCAATACTTGCGTGATAACTATTGTTATAGGCAAATTCCATCAGAGGAAGATATTTTTTCCAATTGTTTCCAAAATCAATGACGCATGCTCGCATCATATCTTCAAGAACTTGAATAGTCCTCACAGACTGTCCGTCAGTCTGAGGATGGAAAGTCGTACTGAAATGTAATTTAGAACCAAGAGCTTTCTGTAAGCTCTTCCAAAATTGGGAAGTAAATTGAGGATCCCGGTCGGAAATGATGGACGATGGTACTCCGTGAAGTCTGACAATCTCGTAAATGTACAGCTCAGCCAGACGCTGTAGTGTAAAGTCCCGCCGAATTGGTAAGAAATGCACCGATTTCGTCAAACGATCAACAATAACCCAAACTGTATCATTCTTCCTTGGAGATAATGGTAATCCGATTACGAAATCCATCATAATGCGGTCCCATTTCCACTCAGGAATAGTGATCTGCTGCAAAAGTCCAGTAGGTACCTGATGTTCGGCTTTGACTTGTTGACAAGTCATGCACCTCGATGTGAATTCGGTAATCTCCCTTTTCATAGCTGACCACCAGTAGTGTCTCTTCAGATCCTGGAACATTTTGTTACTTCCGGGATGCATGGTATACACGATTCCGTGAGCTTCACGCAATAAGCGATCTCTCACATCACCTGATGGTACTACCAAACGATCTCGATACTATAGTGTACCATTATCTCGAACAGAGAAGTCTTGTTTCTCTCCCTTAGAAACAAGCTCACGTGTCTCAAGACAAAAGGTATCCTGATGTTGTGCTGAAATGATATCCTGATCCAACGTAGGCCGTATGCGGAGTTCAGCAAGAGTCTTCCGACTAAGAGCATCGGCTACCACATTCGCTTTACCGGGATGGTAAGCGATGTGACAGTCATAGTCCTTAATCAACTCTAGCCACCTTCTCTGTCGAAGGTTTAACTCCTTCTCGCTCATCAGATACTGTAGACTCTTGTGGTTAGTGAAGATGCGAGTCGTCTCGCCGTATAAGTAATGTCTCCAGATCTTCAATGCAAGAACAACCGCTGCTAACTCCAAATCATGAGTCGGATAATTACACTCATGAGGTTTCAGCTGTCGTGATGCATAAGCTATGGCCTTGCCTTCTTGCATCAGTACACACCCAAGTCCCTGATGTGATGCGTCACTGAAAACTGTGTATTCAATACCAGGGGTCGGTTGAACTAACACAAGTGCCTGAGTCAAACATTCTTTCAACTATTCGAAGCTTTTCTGACAAGCTTCTGTCCAAACGAACTTGACATCCTTCTTCATTAGTTTATGAAGTCGTGTAGCGATTCGAGAGAAATCCTTCACAAAGCGACGATAATAACCAGCGAGTCCAAGGAAACTCCGTACCTCGCGTGTATTGCGTGGAGTTTTCCATTCAGTGATCGCTGAAATTTTGCATGGGTCAACTTTGACTCCTTCTGCGGAAATCACGTGACCGAGAAAAGTGACCTCATTCAGCCAAAATTCACATTTAGAAAGTTTGGCATAGATCTTATGCTCTCTCAAAATACTCAGCACGATGCGCAAATGTTCAGCATGATCCTTTGGTGTTTTGGAATAGACCAAAATATCGTCGATGAAAACCACGACAAATTGATCCAGATACTGTCTGAATACGCTATTCATGAGATCCATGAATACAGCTGGTGCATTCGTTAAGCCAAAGGGCATAACGGTAAACTCATAATGTGCGTAACGTGTACGAAACACTGTTTTTGGAATGTCTTCCGGTTTCACAGGAATCTGATGGTAACCTGATCTGAGATCGATCTTTGAGAAAACCGTTGCACCTCGTAATTGATCAAATAGATCGTCAATACGGGGTAATGGATAACGGTTCTTGATCGTCACTTTATTCAGCTGACAATAATTAATGCATAATCTCATCGATCCATCTTTCTTGCGGACGAAAAGGACAGGTGCTCCCCACGGGGAAACACTAGCACGGATGAAACCTTTATCTAACAACTCCTGCAATTGAGCTTTTAATTCCTTCATTTCTGTAGGGCCATTTGATAAGGTGAAGCTGAGATAGGTCCTGTACTAGGTATAAGATCAATGGAAAATTCTACTTCCCTTGGAGGAGGTAGACCTGGAAGTTCATCAGGAAATACATCAAGAAAGTCACAAACCACAGATATGTCCTTATGGTTATTAGGTGTTTCCTTCTGCATATCCTTAACAGTGCACAAGAATGCTTCGCATTTCCTGCGAATGACCCGTTTTGCTTGCATAAAAGAGATGAATTCTGGAGCTTTCGGTAGAAGTTCTCCCCGAATGGTCACTTCGTTACCGTCGTCTGTACGAAGTTTTACCACTCGTTCCTTGCACTCGACAATAGCCTGGTGTTTTGTCAACCAGTCCATGCCAAGTATAACGTCAAACTCCTTGTGAGGGAGTTCAATGAGATCGGCTAAGAATATCTTTCCTTGAGCCATCAACGGACATTGATAATAAACATGTTGGAGACGTAGACTGTGTCCTTGTGGGTTCGACACAACTACCGGATGCTCAAGAGTTTCCTTAGTGACGCCAGATGTAACAGGCATAGGTACACATATGTATGATAAGGTAGATCCAGAGTCAATTAATGCAGATACAGTGATATCAAATAACGTGAACATACCCATTATAACATCATTAGCTTGTGGATCTGTACGCCCTTGCATGGCATACGTACGAGCGGGTGCTCGTCCTTGCTACTGACTGGATGTTGGCTTCTTCGGTTGGTTGGACGCGGCCGTAGAACTGTTAGAATAAGTGACCAACGCTAGAGGGGGGTGAATAGCGTTTGATCGTAGAAATCGCAGGAATAAAAAATTAAGATTGTGAAAAGTAAAGAGCGTAGAAAGCGTAAAGGGAGCACACCAAGATTTATACTGGTTCACCACAACGTGTGGCTAATCCAGTCTCCCGAGAGACTCTCTCGAGCTACACTACTTCTGTTAAGCTTACGGGTGCTTAACAAACCGTTACAACCTGAGAACTCGAGTCCCACGAGCCTCAACAACACTTGCTCGGAGATACCGCACTCCAAGACTTCAACCCGAAGGAAAATACCTTTCCTTCGTACAACCAAGGGAAACAAGCTTCCCTTAACGTGTATACAACACTAAGACACTCAAGAACAAGGCTCTCTTTTAGAGTAGATGTTGAGTAAACTATATACACTCAAGAACAACTCAAACTTCACACAATTTGGCTCTAGAAAGCTATGGAAAATGATGTTATTTGAATGCAATGAAAGTATGAATATTGTGAAGTGAATTTAGTGTCTAAAGCAGACCCAAACACCCCTTTTTATAGTGCCAAAATAGGCTCCAACGGA